ACTTGCCTCTTCCTCAGAGCCAACTGATCAAATGTCTGCTCCCTCTTTTATATGCTCACTACTAGTTAAACCAAAGGTCACATGGGCCATCCTGGACACTCCCCTGTGCAGGTGGAGGAGTCACAGGGGCAATTGACATAGTGTAAGTAAACACGAAAGGTCTATAAAAATATATATAAATATATATGTGTATAAATAAAACCATTGAAACTAGTGACAATCATAAAATCATATGAACCATAAGAAGTGTGCACAGTGAAAAATAAATAGGTGGAAAGTTACACATATATATAAAATAAAAGTCCTTCCCTGGTGATGCACTGCACTGCTCGCCTTTAAATAAAATGGATGGATGGATGAGCAACGCTACGAAGCTTCATAGGCAGCTTCGTAGCATTGCTCATCCATCCATCCATCCATTTATTTAAAGGCTAAACATCCTCCCATTTATCTTTGGAGGTCAACAAAATTAAAGTTTACATTTTTCTTAATTTAAACTGAATGAGTATACTGCAGTTATCAGTATTTCTACAATTTCTTGCAGGCATACTGGCTAAGCTACAACTCTTAGCTTTGAAAGTCAAGAAAATAATTAAAAAGTAACTCTACTTTTGTGAAAAAAGCAAATAATAAAAAAATAATATAGCATATACAATTGCTACACATACCATGTTGTAATATAATGGTATTAAAAGTTACCTTTCCTTTTCAAACTGCAGCACTGAAATTTTCAGTAAAATTCAATGCAGTATGGCAATCTGAAAGTGTTCAGTATACAGTTGATGTACAGATCTTCCCCAGAAATGTCATTTCCTGCTTGCGTGATTGGCTCATTGATTTTCCCAAACGACTGATACGAGTAAAAATTTTCTCTACAATAGGAAACATATTTTTGGAGAGATACTCCTTAAGGGTTAAAAACCTTCTAAAGGGATGCGCATATTGCAACTTTGCTCATTAGACAACTGCAAGTGCATTGACTGATTAGAATGAACACAGACACTCCTATCCAGGAAAAAAACTTCCAAAGACTTAGTTGCACATACAGTTTTTCTTAAAAACAAAACTGGTAGAACTCTGCTATGAGGTTTGTGGAGATCTTTGCAATGTACAGAAATTACCCAGAGGGAATTGTTTTGTTTTTTTTTCCACAAAAAAGTACTTACTCTTTCAATTTTAGCTTCTAAATTTAAACTAAATACATTTGCAGATATCATACTTTCTACAATTTCTTGTAGGTCCCATTGCTTAAACCACGTCACATCCAAAAAAAAAAAAAGGGTTAAATGTTATATTTTCTAATTAAGACAGAATGTGTACACTATACAAATATCTATATATTTATCTATTTATTGATATTGCTCACTTCCTCAATAAATTGACTGTAGCCATGGATACAGGCAGCTTTTAAAGTCTCAAGTGTTTACAAGGCCTGCTTTGAGCTAGGTGGCTAAACCACTGGAATTCAATAGTGACACAGTAGACTTCTGGTAATTTTGGCCACATAGGTTTACTGGTTTGGTCCATGCTACATACCAGTTGGGCTTACAGAGAGTGCTCTCTGAGCAGACTGCAGTCTATAGGCTCTTCTCAGTGTGGACACAACTACGTGAAGTGATCTGTCTCACCCCAATGACAGAGGATTATGCAGGTTCAGGACCGCTTCTTAACCTAATGGGGGTTACCCTGGGTAGCTGTCTCTAGCTTCAAATAAAAAGTCTGGCTCTTAGATTTTAAAGGTGAAGTGGCTTCTGACTCAGTACAAAGGCAGGTGAAGTGGCTAGTAGTCAGTCCTACAGAACAAGGTAGCTTTCAATGCTCTCCATCAGCATTTCTGTTGGTTTAGGATTGGTGTGACAAACCCACTGCTGTAAATCCTGTAGAAGAGACCAAAGGGAAAGGCCTATGGTTCTGTGACCTGGGCCACAGTCATTATTTCTGACTCAATACTTTTTTTTTACCAGATGAGCCAATTCATGCATCTGGACACAGGGTAGCTTTTCCTAGGTGGTAGGCCCAAGCCCTGCACTCACAGCCCTGCATATCACAGTAGTCAAAAGAATCTTTGTGTTCAGGCTTTCATAATATGTGGCCACCTCTGGGGCCAGATTATTATTATTATTATAATAATACAGGATTTATATAGCGTCAACAATATGCTCAGTGCTTTACAAAATAAAGGGAGACAATACAGCAACAAAAAAAAACAAAACTGGTAGAACTCTGCTATGAGGTTTGTGGAGATCTTTGCAATGTACAGAAATTACCCAGAGGGAATTGTTTTGGTTTTTTTCCACAAAAAAGTACTTACTCTTTCAATTTTAGTTTCTAAATTTAAACTAAATACATTTGCAGATATCATACTTTCTACAATTTCTTGTAGGTCCCATTGCTTAAACCACGTCACATCCAAAAAAAAAAAAAAGGGGTTAAATGTTATATTTTCTAATTAAGACAGAATGTGTACACTACAGGTAGCAGAGAGATTGATTTACCAAAACTGGAGAGTGCAAAATCTGGTGCAGCTTTGCATAGAAATTAACCAGCTTTCAGGATTATTTTTTTGTCAAAGTTTACTTGAACAAGCTGAGGTTAAATGCTAATTGGCTACCATGCACAGCTGCACCAAATTTTGCATTTTTAGTAAAACAACCCCATAGTATTTCTAGAATTGCATCAATGCCTAAACCACATCCCCATAAAAAAAAATAAACTATACTTTGTTTTTTTTGGAGGTCAAAAAAAGTTTGGTATTGATTTTATTTCAACAGAGTGAATATGCTACAGACATCATTTATAGTATTTATACAATTACTTATAGACATTGTTGCCTAAACCACATCCCAAAATAGCTTTTTAGACAGAATTCAGATGATAGCATTTGATGATGCTGGATCACTGAGTGGTGGTGGATGAGAACACAGCAAAGAATATTGGAAGGGATGATAATACAAGTAATATTACCTTTCTGGAAGCCTGATAGCTAAGCCAGATAACCCCAGTGAGAGAAGAAGAGATGAGGGTGGATAGGAGCAAAGAGGGAGGAAGAAAAAAGGAAAGAACAGAAATGGAGGAAACACACACAAAGGAATGAGTGAGAGTGTGGGAGAGGATGAGGAGTGAGTGAAGGGAGAACAGGCTGCACATCGCACACACTGAAGAGGGAATGGGGTTCAGCAATACTGCTGCATTCCAGTACTGCTCACGACAAATGTCAAATCTTTTAATCCATTAAATACATTTTGGTGTGGGCAGGGAGATACAATTTATGAAAATGGACTGCCAAGAAGTGCACAAGTAAAAAAGGTTTGGCAACACCATTCTAGATGAAACAGGCAATTTACTCTTGAAAAGTTGCAAAACGAAAAAGGATAATTTCACAATTTTTAATTTCATAAGTAGCAATTATTATTTTGGTTTCAAGTATGAATAGCTTAATAACAAACGATGCAAAATGGCAGACAGCTAACCTAAATGTTAATGTATGCTCTAAAGCTCTAAAAACCAATACAACATTGCATTTGACATTATACAAACAGATACTGTATCTAACTTGACTTGCTGCTGAAATTATTAAGCATGAGCAACAATTTTTTATTTTGTATTTTTTTAATTCAACTTTGTAACTGGGTGACCATTTCATGGTGAATGGTGAATATTATTATTCTGCTGTTGTTACCATGACCATTACAGGTATTGTCATAATAATGCGGTTCACTTTGAGAGTAAGGTTAGGCAGTTATGTAAACATTGATTTGGTGTAGGTGATTAATTCATGTCTTAGTGTGTCATGTAACATTGGTGAGAGATTTGGGAATAGAAGGAATAAAAGGGGTATGAAAACATGTACATAATAGCAATTGAGGGCAACCTTATTGATTCATTAGCCCTGGTTTCCATTACTTAATCAAAGTCTAGTACAATGTTCTCTTTGTAATGTCACAAGGGACTGTGGTGCAAAAAAAAAATCTCTTTCATCTAGAATCGTGTTTGCTTATCAGTATTGACTGATCTGTAATGAAAGTCCTCTCAGTTTGAAGTACATTGAACTTATGCACTGCCAAGAAACAAGCCTGCATGAATATGTGTTTCACTGAAAAAAAAAAACAGAAGTTATTTGATTATTGCTAAGGTCAGGTTGATATGGATGTCTCAGTGAAAATGGTGAGCAGTGAGACATCTGTTTTTCTTCAACACCTGGAACAGGTATGATCTGTTTCTTTGTGTCCAACTAATGATTGCCTTGTTTCATTTTATTCAAAGAAGGGGAAAATGGATGACACCTGCTTACACTTTTTTTTTTCAGTTGGGAAGTCCTTGGAGCATTAATGAACTTTTAATTGCCCTCTGGGGAATCTGTAAAAAAAAAAAAAACATGATGAAGAAGAGTACTGTGTTGAACCACAGTTATGCTAAATGATGCAATATTCCTTAAAGTATATATAGACAAGGTCAGTGCACACAATTGATCATATAGACTCTTGGTCTGCCACCAAGCAGCCACCACACTGAGCATAACATTGCCAAGACTAACTAAACAAACATTTTTTCAACTCAGTAGTCTGGTTTCATTCCAATAGTCTCTTGGCCTATTTGTTATGGTAAACCTCCTGCAGAGTTTTATTAAATCATCTTTAGCAAAAACTTCAGATACTCAGATATACACATTTTCAACACTTCAGTGGTACAGATCTTACTTGCTCCCTAATGTCTTCCCAAGAATGCCAATTTTTCTTTAGTCCTCTTTCCTGGGTAGTTTGTTTACTCTCATTTCCCTTTATTTTAATGATAGAGGTTTGATAGCTATTTTCTGAAATAATGTACACATAGACCTGAAAAACAGATTCCAGCACATCACAAGGAAACCCACTAACAAAACTGGGAACCTTGGACACAAATAAATACATAGGGATGAGCAGGGGCGGACTGACCATTTGGAAACTCGGGCAACTCCCGAGGGCCCGTGGTCAGTAGGGCGCCCCATGAGATGCCCCTGGTACCTTTTTCATAGGCTTTTTTGAGTTCGGGCAAGGACACAGGGGCCCTATGATCCCCTATTGCCCGGGGGCCCCATGAGTTGTCAGTCCGCCCCTGAAGATGAGTGAATCTTCTTGGGTTCAATTTGTGAGAGATTCTCCAAATCCTGCATGAAGTCCACAAAATCTGAACTTAAAGTGGTTGTAAAGGCAGAAGGTTTTTTATCTTCATGCATGCAGCCCCCAGCCCCCCTAATACTTACCAGAGCCCAATCTTGATCCAGTGATGTGCAAGAGAGCAGTGGCTCTTTCGGCTCTTTGCCTCCTTATTGCCATTGGCTTCCGCTGCTGTCTATCACAGCCAGTGAAGAGGGAGTGGGGGGGGGGCACACACATATAGGCACACACAGGAGATTTGGGATCAAGCACGCAGGTGTGTCACAATAGGAAGCTGCTTCCTATGGTGGCATACCAAGAAGAGGAGGAGCCAGGAACTGCGATGGGGGACCCAAGAAGAGGAAGATTGGGGCACAGCTGTTTAAAACCATTGAACATAGCTGGTAAGTATGTTTTGTTATTTTTAATAAATAAAAAAACAGCATTTACAATTACTTTAACATCAGCCCCCTTTGAAGTCTATAGGGGGTGAATTTTGATATTACATTCTGGCCATTTTAAAAAGTAATAGGCAAGGTATTCTTGACAAGGAATTGGGATGCTGGGCATGGGGGGCATTTAGCAAAGCATAACAAATGTATTTAAATACTGTTCAGCTGGGAGCAGATTCTACTTTTAATGTGACTTTGGGAGACACATGGCAAGAACACCAATCCCTTAAACTACAGGCTTAGGAGATGCGTTTAATTTGCATTTGGTGTTACATAACAGTACAATTTTCACAGACAGCATCAGCAAAAACATATTCTGTCATCACATAATTTGAATGTGTACTTAATCTTTGAACTTTTACATTTAACTTGGCCTAAGATAAACAGCAGAAACCAAATCTGCTTTATTTCAACTTGGAAAAAAAGGCTTTAAAGGTAATTTTAGTTGCAACACCAGTTTTTTCAAACAGCAGTAAGGCCTGAACTGAATGATGAAAAGCACAGCCACAACAAATCTAAAAGCTATAGGAACAGTTACTCTTAAAAATAATAAAGCAAAAGACCTCAGCTTTGTAATCATTGGCCTATGGCACCACAGTTTAATCCTACAATTTATGAGCTTCTTTTTTCACAGTGCCACACAGCATTGTCATGAAAGTTTAAGAAAATGTCAAAACATTGCAAAAACACTTCAAAGCCACAACACCACATTTTCATGCCCTCTCCTAGTATTTGCAGTTATTCCCCAAAAACCCAAAATATACACTTTGGGTAGATGTTTGGTAGAAATTGCGTAGCATCAGGACAGAACGTGAGCACAGAAAGTAGGCAGGAAATAGACAGACACAAGACAGGTTCTAACCTACATAAAAATTATAATGTATTATCTGAGAAAGAATAGCCACAAACAAAGTTCAGTGGCTGGACAGTATGTAAGCAGTTTGGTCAGGTTACAGTATAAGTGGTAGAGAGGAAGTAGGTTTTTTCTTACATTACAGGGTATTATTTGATACAATAGCCACTCTCTTCAAGGGTATAGAGCAACTATAATGCTTTCTTGTGCTGCCCTTTTCCTTCTCCTCAGTGCTGCAAAACTGCATTACTGTTACTAATACACCATTTTTTGCTCTTCTTAAAGGGGTATAGCAACCATTTGTCTGCAAGTGCTGCTAATGCACTCTTGTCCTCAACTTCCTCCACTCTTGCTAATCCCACCATAACCCACCAACTGCCTATGTGGAGCCAGTAGAATTATTTGGACACAGCTATGCCCAGGGATGACCACAAAGCTCTGCAATATTTTTTTTTAATGTACTGTATCTGCTGCTGAGGAAAAAAAAAAAAAAATTTCCCTAAATAATTCCCTTGTGTCTTAATGCCAGCTTTGCCAAACACCCCTTTCTGTAAGTTTGAGCCTTGTGCTATATTACAGTGGTGGTTACCCAGCAATTTCCACTATTTTGCCCAGAAGTCCATCCTCCAAGCGGTATTATTTTGAACAGAAGGCCATCCTTATCCTCATCACCATGTGGAATGCAATTAGACAGCCCTTTCAGGGAGCTCCAGAACCACATGATTGTTAACTATATTGGAATAAAAGAAGGAGGAGGAGGGTGGTGGTACTGGCAATAAGGAGGAGTAGGAAATGAGGCAGGATCTTATTTTTCATTGTATTATAGTCAGTGTACTGAAGATTCACAGGCCTTCCACAATAAAGGGGGAAGGGCAGGCAGTAGCAAAAATTAAGAGCAGAATCATATGGTCATGGGCTATCTGCCCTTTCACAATGCTTTGTTTGAGGTGAAGTATGTTTAATTTGATTGGTCTAGGGCCTTTTTTATTTTGGAGCTGCAAAGTTTATATTTGCTGCTGACATCCACCGCATACTTATGTGATAGAGTAGTGTGCAACCTTTAGGCAATCAATAAAGTGAGAGGCAGAGGTTCTGCAAACAGAGTTTTACATGCATTTACAGATGTCTACAAGCACTGACATGCTTTCAGATGTGATCAAAGTATCAAATCTAACCCTGGACTTACATATTTCTATTTTTATTAAGAGAAAACATACTGAATACGTGCTTTACGTACCTAAATGCACGTAACAGCACAATGTGCATTAAACAATTTAAGATCATTCTATGAATTAATATGCATTTAGAAATGTTACATACAGGCATATAAATGCATATAATCACATGGCAGTGTGACTGAGGCTTAAGGGTATTGTTTTTCTTCCTTTCATATTTTGCAGGTCACTTGGTCATGAAATAACAAGGGAGCCTCCAGATCTTGCCCTCCCATGTGAATTAGTATGCAGTACACGGTACCCCTACTTATTCACCACCCAAAAAAAGTGTAGTGTAAAAAAAACACAGGAGGCAGTTTTTTGACAAGTCCTTTATTAAAAACAAAAATTAAAAAAATGTCCCCATGCAGATTCATCATCAATCACAATACCCACCACCACCGCCAACTCAAAAAGAAAAAAAAAAAAAGAGGCTCCATTCCTGGCGAAGGCTCCCGCTGTCTGAAAGCTCTACCACCTGACAGTTCTTAAACAACTAAGGGTCGGGGAAACCTGGTGAAATTGCCAGGTGAGACCCCACCCTTTGTGACATCATCAACCAAAACATGCTGGATCGATGACATCACAAGTGGCAGGGTCACCCGGCGACATCACCTATGCGTGAAATGCATAGAGGCTTGAGCAGCTGAGGTAATTTCCAGAATGAGTTCCTACATCACTTCCAGGTCTGTAGAATGCTCTCTGGCTCTGTGGAACAAGCGTCGGTGCGGTGCCTATGTGGGTGCATTCTGAGGCACTATTATATGTGAGTGTATACAACTTATGTTTTTATCATTGGTACTCAATAAATATACTACACTATATACTTCCCTCTGGTTTTTTGAATGGTACATCTCTGGTGGTTGAGTATCATTAGTTGATGTAAAGAAGAAGTATGATTGAAGTCTCTCCAAGGCTTAGATCTATAGGTTTAAACGCCTGCAGGCTGTTTGGTCAGCCGTATTGATCTAGTGAATGCAGAATATATGTGCACGTGGTGGGCACCTTTGTGACACTTAAGGAAGATTAATGTCACTGAATATAGTGATTTGGACATGGTGATTGGCAATACTAACACATTTCACACTTTTTATTTATACACATTAACTTAACTCTAGTTACTTATTGTGTATATTCACTTATTTTGTGTGTGTTCTAATTTTAATATTTACTGTTGTATGTTATATATGTTTTAAAGGGCTAGCGTGTACCTTTATTGTATTATTACATTTATACTTATATGTTTACAATATACTATTAGCATACTTGATGCAGTTAGCACCTTGAAGTTTTGTTTTTCACTTTAGAGGAATACTACTGAACTGCACTGACAGTTTCTAAAGATTCTATCTTATTTGGTCATATTTAAAAGTGTTCATATGTCAGATATACCAACATAGTTTTGGTCTTGATTTTGCTCATGCCTCTGATGTTAGACACAAAAAATGCATTATGCAACTCATTTACTGTATAAAAGCATGGGCCCTCAGGTGGCAGCTTAGATATTCTTAACAGAACTGAGTTAAAGTCCATAAAGTGCATAGAATGCATCAAACTAGTGGTGGTAGGTACTGGTTTTCGATACTGTCAAAGATTATATAGGTCTGTTATAGAAGCCTTCTTGAGCCCATGTACTGATGTCCATCACAGAAACATGCTTGTTTTTCAATGATTGTTATTAAAGAACCTTTTTCTTGCACAGAAATACATAGGGCACAACACATACAATAAACATTAAAATATACAAGAACAAACAAGCGAAAAAAAGCCCATAAGGGGATGCAATATTGCATTTCAGCTTTGCCCATTGTGCACAGAGATTTCTCTAGATTCTCTAAATCGTTTGATAATATTATGCACTGTAGATGATGATATATTTAAAGTATTTGCAGTTTTACGTTGAGGAACATTATTATGAAATTGTTCGACAATTTTTAGACAGAGCTTTTCACAGCTTGGTGAACCTCTGCCCACCTTTACTACTGAGGCAGTCTGATTCTTTAAGATGTTCTTTTAATACCCAATAATGTTACTGACCTGTTTCCAAATAACCTAATCAGTTGCAAAATGTTTTTCTTAGATCTTTCTTGTTAGTACCCCTTATTTTATCAGATTTTGGTTGTCCTGTCCCTTCTTTTTCAAAATTATCCTATTTTATTCTTAAAATGGTACATATTCCCAGTTTAACCATTTGATATGTTTTCTGTTTTCTATTTTTGAATAAAATATGGGTTTATGAGGTTTGTAAATAATTGCATTCTGTTTTTATGTAGATTTTACATGGCAGCCCAACGTTTTTTGGGAATTGGGGTTATACTTTGTTGGGGTACATTCAACCCCGTACTGCAACACAGTGCATAAATATGCCACATAACAATTCAGTTCCAATAACACAATAAATTACATTCACTCAATGGTATGAT